GAAACAAACGACACACCGGGTCTGGATAACGGTGAAAAAACGATCCGATGGCAATCCATCACGGAAAGATTGGCGGGCTGCGGCTCCAGGCACTGGAAGACCCGCCGTCCGTGCCGACGACCATGGCCGCCCCGGCTGGAGCCAGTGGGCTTCCAGCATTGGTTGTCACGTGCCTGAAGAGTGGATACGATATGAGCGTGCGATGCTATTCGGGTCGGTTAACGGCTGTTGAGGCGCGCATCCATGCTGGCTAATTGTGATTAAATTAGTCTGTTAGGTTTACATGCTGGGATAATGGACTTCAAAAGGTCACACCAAGGGTCAGACGTGTTTAGGTTCATCCTAAATTAATCATCGTTCTGGTAGATGACTGGGATAAAAAGGCACCACCCGGCTGGTATTAGGTGCACGATAAGCCGCGTCCAGCGAGCTCCTATAGCAGGGGAAGCGCGTAAAAAGCATCCAACTGCAGCCGCAGATTTACCGCCTTGGAAACCCATTCATTTCAAACAACAGCTCACAGGGGAGTTTTCCTTTGTGGAATCGAAAAAACCAGCCCATAAACACAGCAATGTGTTTAAACACATTGTCGGTGAACGTTCATCGGTACTCTGAGCATTCACTCCGTACTTCCAATGGTAACGTTTGTGTGTTTTTAAAGAGTTAAAGATGCTGTAACTTCTGAACGTGTAAATGCGTTTGTCATGGAGCATACCCCCAAAGTCGTGTTGATGTATTTTTCAGAATTTGTCGGAGCATTTTACAAGGCGGGTTTGGCATCGACCAGTGGAAGAGCAAACGTTGTTTCGAAAACTGAGACTCTCTGTCATCAGTGTTGCAATTCAATTCCAACAGATGATGTTGGCCACCATATTTTAACATGCCATGCAGCCTCATCACAAACCGCCACTGCTAGTCTGGCTCCTTTGCTACTTGACCGGCAGCGACAAGTCACAAAAGTCATATTTCTTAAACGTGAAACTCTATATTGTCATACAGTGACAAGTTTCCCGACGATCCATCATCACACGCTGTGAGGTGAATCACTTGGTGCATGATTTCATGCTTGTTATTCTATTAAAGACAAAACCCATGCCATTCCAAAAAAGGCTTATTTACCAACTGGCGCTGTCAAGAAGCTGCCAATGTCAAAATCCTTGAATTCGTCGCTGTAGCCAGTTTCTACGACGTGATACATTACGTAGTTCGCTATAAGTCTCGTCTCATATACACATCTGATGTTTACAAATGATACGGAGACAATTCAGCCGAATGCTACCGAACTGGCCACCGATTCAAAGTGTGAATATAATAAATAAAATTCGGAACGAATTAGCAAAGATCTGTCGGCTCTGCTCCTAATTTCAATCAAATTAAAGAAATAACATAATCAGTCGTGTGCTGTCGAGACTCAACCTTGATATCAATCACTGTGCTTTTAAAAACGGCCTAGGGCAGCTGCTCGCAGATGGGGCGAGCTGGACCCCGCCACGTGCCGGCGAGCTCCTGCGAGGTGAAGTATTCGGCCAGCCGCTCGTCATCTCCACTTCACTCCAGCTCAGTCATCTCCGGCTGGAGTCCATTCACCGTCTCATCAGCGCTCATCGCTGAGATTCCAGCGGTAATTACGCAACATAAACAGCCGGGGCCCTTTGAGCGAGACGCGGCCGCTCGGTGAGCACCTTTTGTCCGCGGCGAATACCTCGGCCGTGGCCCGGCTCGGCAGCTGCTCTAATGACAACGCCGGGTCAGCTCAGCCGCCACTCACGGACAGCTCCATCTGGTGATCGATTGCAGCAGTCCACGGACGGCCTCGGCGGCGGCCAGAGGCGCACCGTGCGCGCCTGGGCCGCAGGGGACTGGCATCGCCAAGAGGCAGCGACTTTTCGAGACCGCGACAGGTCGTGTCTTCATTCTGCGGGAGCCGGAGGGAGAGCCAACAACGCACGATCTTCTGGCTGTCCATGGACTGGGAAAATCGGGCCTGCTTGAACAGAACTGGGACATTTGTTATTAGCCGACGTTTTACTTTAACGCCGGATGATTAATCTCAATGCGTGCCTGGTCGTGATTATGCATGGCTGATTGAAATTATTTTGTGATCTTGTTTTTGATATGAATGATTGATGATACGGCTGATGATTGCTATAACTGATGATCTTTCCACGTATGAGGTATTTAAATTCCCGTATATATGGCTTTGAATCATATATTTGGGGTATTTCTGATGCCTCTTTGTTCGCTTTCCTATCCTCTCTCTCTCCCTTCCTCTCCCTCTCTCTCTCTCTCTCTCTCTCTCTCTCTCTCTCTCGCCTCCTCTCTCTCTCTCTCTCTCTCTCCTCTCTCTCTCTCCTCTCTCTCTCCCTCCTCTCTCTCCTCCTCTCTCTCCCTCTCTCTCATCTCTCTCCTCTCTCTCTCTCTCTCTCTCTCTTCTTCTCTCTCTCTCTCTCTCTCTCTCTCTCTATCTTCCCTCTTCTCTCTTTCTCCCCCTCTCTCCTTCTCTTTCCTCTTTTTCTCTCTCTCATTCTCTCTTTCTCTCTCACCTGTTATGCCACCTCTTCTCCGCCACCCTTCTTCCTCCGGTCTCTTCCCCAGCCGGTTGTTTTCCATTTATCTCTCCATCTACTACTGCGCCGCTCTATTCATCCGTGGCCTTCTCCAGCTCGCCGGCGTCCCGATCTGTCTCCCCAGAGCGGTGTCGTTTGGCCGACACAAAGGGGTCGACCCGGCACGAGGCCGCCAGTCCCAGCTGACCAATCACGTACACTGCCCGCAGGCTCGTAAAGCGAACGTAAAGCAGGGCTTCGTCGACGCCGTGGTCTGTGCTGTAATTGCGCACGGGTGGCCGTTCGGCGCTGGTGCGGGAAGGGATTTGGGGTTGAGAACGTGACTATGGTGGGGGAATTGGTGGAATTCTGTTGAGTGCTTTGTTGTTCACCTCGGCCGTTCCAACATGTTAAGTCCTACCTCACGCGGTCCAGCCATGTGAATCCTCGAAATCTACATAATATTAAAAACATTCGTTTTGCAGGGGATACAGGCAAAGCGCGGAAGCCCTGCAAACAAGTCAGAATGATTTGGTTTGATTTCAATGAAATCTTTAGCGCTCATTCGCCGCGCATTCATTCGGATTTGCTGCAAGATATTTTTTGTTGTGTGTGCATAACAAAGCCATCCGCCAAGACCAAACAGCCCGACGTAACACACGCTCACAAAACTGTCTTCATTTGTCATTTTAATCTTGTTTTTGTCGCGCTATCAGGGCGAGATCAACTGTCTCTGGGGCCAGGTCGTGTTTCCCACTGTTCGCCATCAGTTTTTCGGCCCGCCAGGTGACCGGAATGACATTCCTTCAGGAGGGTCCCTGTCATTACTCAGGCGGCGGGTCTCCGGTACGAGCCCCGCTCACACCTCCGATCGCCAGATAGGCCGGGGTCCTGCAGGGAAGGACTGCCTGAGGCCGGCCGCTCACTGGCGCTGCGGTGCGAAACCCGGCGCAGCGACAATGGCTCGAGCTCACTGCACTCGGGCAGAATTCTCCTGCTTTTTCAACGCTGCCTCCGCGAGGGGAAGGCTACTGCGTCGGCAAAAAACGGTGCCACTCGGAGGCCGGCGAGCGGTCGCAGGTTTTTCTCGGCCTGGGCTGCGCCGTTCTGCCACAGTTTAATCGCGAACCGAGCGGCCCGGGAAAATCAATTAGCGCCCGACAGCGCGGCCGCATGTGCCGACGTGATGAGGGACCTGATGAGGGACCTGATGAGGGACCTGCCGCGCCGCCGGCCGCGCCTCGCCAGCCCCGCCGTCCGTCACCGTCCCACAGCTCCGGCAGATAATCTCGGCGAGGCGCCCGGGGGGCGGCCACGCTGACAAACGATTCCCGGCGGCTGTGAAGTGCGGAACAGAGACGAGGACAGGTCGGGCTCCGCTGGGAACTACACTGTCCGGCGCGGTCTCGGTTTTTGTCCGGTTTTTGTCCGTTGTGCGGCGGCGGTCGCCCTTTGGCGCTCAACAACATCGCACGAGGCATCTTGGCCCCATCTTGCTCAGAGTCTGTCTCAAGTTGGTGCCACCAACACTGGAATGGGGCAACAGTGTGTTTTGGGAGGCGGGGGATGCAGTGGTGTCTGGGCATTTCATGCGACGCACTGTCATAAACGGTCGTCGTAGAAATGATGCGGGCTGCTTCACCGAGCTAAGCTACAACACCGAACACGCCAAACCTCGTGCACTATTCGTCTGATGGCGGGTATCTGGGCAGCAGCGCTGCGCGCGCCAAAACCATTTCCGGCCGGCATCGACCAAACCCGGAGACAGTGCTGCAAGGACATCGGATCTGCAGCAAAGGATAGCGGCGCCGACTCCTTGACCGGCGTCCCGCCGCCCACGGCCGGCCGGGACCCGGGCAAGTGGCCTCGCCGGACGCCGGCACGGCTCGGAGCGGAGCGTGCCCGCGTGCCTGACGCGCCACCGGCAGTGCGGCGTCGCACGTGCTTCGTCCAATGGTCATTACCGCCCGTGCGCCGCGTCGAAATTGCCCGCGGGCATCCGCCGCCTGGGGCGTGATACTAAGATGCGCCTCGCGCCTTTTGACCTTTAAATCCGTGTCCTGCAGACTTCCGCCATACAGGGTGGTGCTGGTGCTGACCCCTGACCTTCACCGAAATTCTGAGGGAGAGCTGCAACCCCTGGCGGGATCACAAAACTTCCTGGTTACGGGTCCAAATAGCTCCAGTGGGAATTGCAGGTAGCTGAACTCCGACTGTATCACCCTTCGCACGGCGTCTGAATTCGGTCTCGTATTTATGTATTCATGGATTCTTTGTAGTACGCACTGCAGCTGCAGCGAACTGATCTAGCACAGCACATTTGCCGACAGGACGTATGGGGCCGGTGTTAATAATTCCGCGGCTATGCTCGCGACGACCCCCCCCCCCCCCCCCCCCGATTCTGCGTTCTGCCAAGCCGTGTCAGTGTACCTCAGCTGAGTGCGGTGGGCTCAGTTTCAGAGAGCGTGAACATCACGGAGCTGCGTGTGCCTGAAGTGGTGGAACACAACACCAACTCGACGGCCATCCTCGACTGCGTGTACGACCTGCCCGACGACGGCGTCAACCTGCTGCTCGTTAAGTGGTACTTCGGCGACGAGAACCATCAGGTGTACCAGTGGGGCCTGGGCCTGGAGCCGGCTGGGTCTGGCGTGCTCAAGGGCAGGCTGCACCTAGGTCACGTGGCGTCGCCCGAACTGCTGAAGAAGCACCGCGCGCTCAGCGTCTCCAACCCCACCGTCGACCTCAGCGGCACCTACATCTGCAGGGTCATGACCAACTCGGGCGTCGTCACCGAGGCCAAGAAGATGATCGTTTACGGTGAGTAGCTGCCAAGCGCCGGCCACGCGGGATCGTGCACGGCTTGGGAGTCCCTCGGGAGACGCGGGGTCAGGGGTGCACCCTTTGTCCGCCTGCCTCCGAAATTCCACAGGATTCGCTGGGGTACCGGGTCCGAGACGTGATAAGGCAGCGGCGTGGGCTCTCCCTCACGGGCGCCGAGCAGGTGGCAGCGATAACAATGATTCATTACGGCGCGCGCGGCCATGATTCATCATTTGCGGAGGGCGGCGGCGACTTAGGAGGCTGGTGGCGAGCACGTCTTCCAGCAGTGCTGTCTGTCGGCCGGCTCGCTCTGGTAGTCGGCGGGGACTCGGCCACTCGGCACGGGGCAGAATCAGCGAGTCGACGCCCCTTCCACGAACGCGAGTCGTCGGCGTTCGCGGCAGTGCGGTCGTCGGACACCCGGGTTTAATAATAGCGGCCACACGGCGCCCAACAAGCGGGCCGCCCGAGGACGAGCACCCCTGCCAAGAGGGCAGCGCTGCCAACTCGGGTGGGCGCTGGGTACAGCTGGGGCTCGCGGTCGGTGAGGTCAGCGGCCAGGCAGCGCCTCGCAGACCTCCGGGGAAGGGTTCTGCGTAACTGGGTCATCATTTCGAGCGCGAGTTTGAGAAGTTTGGTCCCGTACAGGCTTTTCATTACTGAGATGTCATGATGTGACCGGTAGACGTCGCAGGAGTTCGATTGTCCCGGCCGAGAATCCCCGGAGGTGTAGCGGTTCATCTGAGGGTCCTTGTTGAAGCGCCAAGGAGTTAGCTCGAAGGCTGCGCTTACCTGAAACGCTCCGCCTATCGGTCGCGTCTCGTAACTTTTGCCTTAATACCAGAGGCGGGAAGACAACTCACCGACGGACTTCCTGACTGACCTTGGAGGAGATGGTAGCTCAAAATCGGTTTGTGATGCTCTCTAGAGAGGATTCATGTTTGTTATTTCCTGTCCACTGCTGGAAAACGTAAACTTCTCGACTGTGTTTTTAGACCGCCAGGCTTTCCCGCTACTCCGCTGAGGTGGCCTCCCTCTCCCGACGCCACGCTGGGACCGGACTCTCCTGACACCTCGGCGAAAACCTGTCGCTCCCGGACTTACGACGGCGAGGTCACCTCTCTCCGACACCTCATTGGCAGTCGGTCTGTTGTGGGGGAGGTGCGCTGCTCCGGGTCACATCATCACCGCGGCTCGACCGCCGCTGGCGGCCATCCATCTCCGTCAGACCGTAGACGGTCGACGACAGACTCCAGTGCGAGGGGCCCGCCCACCAGCGTACTTCCGGGGACATTCTGGCTGTGCTGCGGTCGGCACGCGAGAGCTCATTCAGTCATCTTCTCGCTGAACTCGCACTCCGACTAAACTTTTGACCTGAGATTTTAGGTAGCGGAACTGCTCTCGACACCGCGGCCTTTTGAGGGGGAGGGGGAGGGGGAGCAGCCGGTATCAAGGCGAGATGGCGGGCGGGACAATCTGACTGTAGCGAGCGTATTCAATTTCCAACTACCACATATTCTTTGTTTTATTATCAAAATATGATGCGGACCTCTCGGTGTGCTATTAGCCGGCGCTGGACGCTTCGATAACGTCGGATATTAACTCGAATCGCATCACTGGAAGTTTTACTACCGATCGTGATCGAAAGCCTCTCGTAGATTGGCTGCTCGGAGGAATTTGTGACAAGATTGTGACTGCGCACCTAAAACATAGCCATCGGTTGTTCAAATACATTTAATACGACCGTGGCTTTGATCGAGTTTTTTATGCTCGCGATATGAGGTTTGCCACGAGTTCGTCGAGGCAAGAATGTATTCTGTTATGAGAACGATCTGCCGTGGCATTCATAACGAAGTTCGAGTACATTCATCGTCTCCCTCGAGACAACTGTTAAAGGACTATGCATACAATGAGCGCACCTAATGAACATCCGTCTTTTCGATGCCCTGAGCACTCGCCTGTTGATTAAGCCTTGACTGCATATCATATCAGTGGCTAACGACACTGAGCTTCCTTGTAATCAAACGTTACGGGCCACCTTGTTTGCAACTTGTTTTATTCATCAAAGGCTGAAATTACCGACTGGAGCTGGCTGCCACCGACCTGTCGATTGCCAGGGTGCCGTGCCAATGGGCCACATTTCACTTTCGCACTGAACTGCGCCGTCATTAATTACGAGCTGGGCGCACGTCAGCGCGCGGGCAGGGCACGAGCCGGCGGGGCCGCGCGTCGCCACACGACCCTGCCCGCCGCTCACCTGCGCCGCCCGCGCGGCGCGCGCCGCTAATGGATTGCTCCACCGGGGCTCTGGCTTTCAAGACGCTGGCGACGCCGGCGGCGCGCCGGCCCACTGCAGATGCCGATCACACGAGTCATTCGCCAATTACGGCCGTGTAATTTGGGGCGGGCCGGGGCACGCGCGGCCGGTGTCTGCACTCCGGCGCGGCGCGGCAAGCGCGGCCGCGATGCGGCGGCGGCGCCGCGCGCGCCGCGGCGGATTTCTCCGTCGTGTCGAGCCGCCAGACTGCAGAGCGGGCGGGTGATGGGGGTCGCCGCGGCGCGCCTGGCAAGGCTCGCGCAGTAAAATGTCACTTTCGGCGGCCCGCTGGTGCAGTCGATGGGGCGGGATGTGCCTGCTGGCCCCGCTGGCGCCTGGCCACGGCTCTTGACAGCACCGTTTGGCGTCGGCGAGGGCGACAGCATTGCTCGGACGCCACGTGACGTTTTGGCATCTCAGGGACGGCCCAGAAATCTGGTGCAGTCAACCTTCTAAGCTAGTCTAATTGCTCGGTGTCACTCTGCTCACCTGTCGTACCCTTCGGCTTTCTTAATCCATTTCCATTTTGCAAGCATTTGGAACATTATTGCTGTTCATACATGCTCTGCGTTCGTCATTGTCGCTCAGACCTTAGAGCTGTCATTGAATAATCCATGGCGTCGCAGCGCCTATGAATGTAATTTAAAACTTTCCATGATCGCAACCTCGATCTTAAACTATAATTAAACATCCGGTCAAGCTTCAATGTGTCTGAAGAGTTTTGCGTAGCATTTTTCACCAGTGCGCGCATCCATGGCGCATTGTATTGCTGTGGCTGTGCTGTGCGAGTGTCCCATGCCGTTTAGTCTACGTCTTCGCCATGCGTCGTCTACTCTTGTCTTGACCAGGCGTTCACGGCCGTCCGTTTTCAGCGCCGGCCCGAGCGATGAACCTGACGCAGGACAAGCCGTCCCCCAGCTCGGTCAACATCACCTGTGTGGTGGAGGGCGTGTTCCCTGCGCCGCTGCTCGAGGTCTTCGCCAAGCGGGAGGACAAGGAAGACGGGTGAGGACCAGTCTGCGGACGGTGTAGGAAACGGAGACTTTCCAGATGCACTCTGCTTATGAGGGAGCCACATAGTGCGCTTGGAATCAGTGAAAATGCTGTGTTTTAACTGTTTTGACCCAATAGTGTACGTTGTTGACACTTGGTGTGTGTGATAAGTTGTTTTTCAGTGGCGCCCCGGAGCATGAAATCTCACTGTTCTGGGCATGAATGCATGAGTTACCCTTATCTTATTAAACAAACGTATTCGGGGCAAACCCGTCTGCAAAAGCCAGGATTTGTCAACTGTGTATCCTCCTATTGAGCCAGAGACAATGTTGTGCTATGGTCAGTTCCTGTTGGGAAACTGCTGTTTTCCTGACAACTAAATCAAATAAGTTGTGTCATTTCCAGAAGTGTTTACGATGCCGCGCGCTGCAAGAGTTGTGGCAACTTTGGTCGTAAACTCAAATTTACAACTAAGCTACTTCGTTGCACGGATGAAGAATACAGAAGGGACATAATTCAGACAGAGGACAAAAGTTCGTATCATCCTAGATGCAATAATCCGAGTGTTTTTATTCGCAGCTTGCCTAACTACCTGGGATCGTTCTCTCCTCCCGAGAAATGCTTTTGCTGTACCAGTACGACGGCAAGACTTGTTTCCTACCCATTCATTACTTCCAGCTCGTTATGGGCGGCCATTAAGCTTCATATATTCTGAAAATTGGTCATTTGGTTTTGAAAGCAACACTAGGTTTTCCTCTGTAGCAGAATTCACTTTCTAAACCAAACGTCCACATGACTACATATACTTAAGATAAGCTGCGAACGATTCAG